TTCTAGAACTTTATAATTGTTTCCCAGGTTTTTATAATTACCATGTTTTTTCCTGGTTCAAATAAGCTTTTAGTGGTTCATCTTTCAAAAACACTTAACATAGTTATTATTAGTTTTATACTTATACTTCACAGCTTTAGTGTGATATTAATGATTGTAATAAACACAAAGGTCATAAATACAAGTTGGATATGGTAATACATGCCTATAATCCTAGCACTCTGGAGGCTGAGGCAGGATGATCACCAGTTCAAGGGCAGCCTGGCTCATACAGCAAGATTCTATCTCAAAAAAACCAAACAAACAATTATAAATCATAAAAAGGTTAAGAATACACTCAATTGGGGCTGAAGAGATGGCTCAGTGGTTAAGAACACTGGTTATTATTGCCGAAGACCTGGATTTGAATCCCAGCACCCACATGGCAGCTAACAACTGTCTGTAACTCCAGTCTCAGGGGATCTGACAGCTTCTTCTGACCTCCATGGGCATTGCAGGACACAGGTGCACTTGCCTACATGCAGGCAATACACCCATACACATAAAATAAAAAATAAATAAAATTTGAAAAAAAGAATACACTCAATTAATTTTTGATAAGCCGATTGCTCGACTTATGGGAATAAAGGTTAATTTGGCATATTGTTAAGTAGAAGGTGGTATGGAAAGGCTTGCCTGTGTATGTAGAAACATGTCATAGACTGCATAGACTGGCTTCCCTACTCACAGTTAATGTTTTCATGTGATATACCCATCTTGGTACAGATCGAACAGACATTCATATCAGGGACCATATTACTTATTCTCTTTGGCTATCCCATTTGATATTTCACATGTGCTTAGTGCTTAACATATTCACGTTACTCATAGCTGATGTTGCTCTGGTCTCTCCTCATCCATTCCCCTTCAGTTGTCCAAATCAATATATTTTCAAAATCTAGTTAAAATGTTCCCGGGCTTCACACACTTTTGTCAGGATTCCAGTTCATATTGAACCATTCAAATACAGGCCAGAAAGGTGGATTAACTCTTCACAGTGCTTGCTGTTGCAGAAGACACAAGTTTGGTTCCCAGCACCTATGCTGGGAAGCTAGCTCACAGCCACCTGTAACTCCAGCTCCAGGGAATCTAACTTCCTCTTCTGGCCTCTGTGGGTGCCTGCATACATGTTGTGCGTGTGCACACGCGTGCACATACACACATACAAATACACACAAATAAAATATAAAATAAATATTCAAATACAGTTATTGAAATATGTCCTTTTGCATTGCTTTCTGCTGATTTTTAGAGGTCCTGTTCCTGCATTAATACTCAGATATATTATGCCCCAATTAAATTATTAACCTTTGAGAATGGGTTGTCTTTATATCATCTTAGAAGCCGCTCAAAATACAACTTCTGTAAGGGATTCTACCAGGGTAGCAATTTCACCACAGCTGAAATGATCATTCACTGAGGTTTTGATTGGCAATGGGAAAGGTGTGCAAAGGTCAAAATACTACACGAAATGTAATGAAACAGAAAAATATGTTCCTGTGGATTTAAGTACATTTTTTCTGTCCTTTTTCACATGGACTCAACTAGATCAGTGGCTCAAAACTTTGTGGATCTTAATTGTCTTTGAGAATATGATGAAGCTAAGGAGGCTTTACTTAGGAAAATGAAATGAGGGCTTATATACAAGATCTTGCTTATTATTTCTGGAAGTCCTCAGACACTTGGGACAAATGATCTCTAAGATTCCACCCAGTCCCGGTATCTATGCTAGATTTTAACATTGTAAGGTGTAAGTGCCTCTTCCCACTAATGTGAACCAGTGAGTGTAGCTCAATTGCTTGAACTAATTAAATTTTGAGTAGCCATTGCTGACTATACTTTGTATGCCCTACCTGAACCCCCTATCCAATCACTCCAGCCATGTATCTGAGCTATAAGATGCCTGACCTAACCCCTTACCCCTTCTTGAAAAGTGCTAGAGATGCAGGCTATGCTGATGACTGGCCATCTTTCCTGGAAAGGTAGCACATTCTCAGCGAACTTCTATTCTGGCCTTTCCATTGTTGAGAAAAGTGCCAGAATAGTGTTGCTATGGTGACTTGACTGACAACATTGTAGTTAGCATGAAATGATTCCCTTGAGTGGAAGACGATAAAGCTATTGTTAAGGATGGTTTAAGACAATGCTCTTGCCTGGTCAGCTCTCTCAGCCTCACCTTGCACTTTGTACCTCAAGAGACTCTGAACACATTCAAATGGAAAGTCCACGACAAAACCAGAGGCAAAATGTTAAAGGTTTTGAATTGTCATTCAATCTGCAAGAGCTTCTTCCCCTACTCTATATAATGAAATTAAATGTTAATGATTTCAGTCTCTTGTTGAAAATAGTTTCCTTCCTGCATAAAATGAGCAACAAATATAAAATAATCTTTTTCTTACTTTCTTTTTCTGTAGCTTTAGCATGAAGATTGTTGAGATTTGCAGGTATCCCTGGGTAAACACAGTACACTCTAAGAAAAGATTAGCGTTATTTCCCCTAGAACTATCTCAAGGGAAGCTTAGCAAAGAACAATGGGAAAGTTTTATCTAAAGACCATATCTTTTCTGACTTTACTTTTTGGTATCTCTGGTGGCTTTCCTCTGTGAAGTGATTTTGTTCTAATGTGAATCTGTAAATGAGTTTCCTAGAATCACTCAACTTTTCTCTTTGATGATAAAGTTACTTAGAGAAGAATTCCACCATGAGATTAAGACACTGAGAGAGAGCACTCAACCCTACTTTCTCCACTGGGTGCGCCTTGTGATCTCTATCTTTTCCCAGCACTGTCAGGAGTGCAGTGCACAGCCTACTCAGCTCAGTGAGCCTGAGGAAGTCTCTGTTTACTAGGCTTTCAGTAAATCCTGCTAATGGAAAACTAGGTGAGCACGTGTTGAAGAAATCTATCCAAGCCTCTGCTCTTATGTTCTTGTCTGGTAAGTTGTTCATAAAGGACAAGCATCAATCTTTGTTGCTTCCTGCTACTCTTTAAATATCTGTGAATAGGGGTATGGAACACCAGAGGGGGCCAGGGAACCATTTGAAGGTGGGAGAACTGCCCCCTTTCTACTACCCCAGTTTTTAATCCAGTATTAAGAATCCTTTTTATTGAATTTTTGCGATTTTCATACAATATAGTTTGACGGTATTTACATCTGCTCCCCTCTCCGCACCTCTCACCACTGCCCTCCTGCCCAAATTAATGAACTCTCTTATATATAAAATAAGGCCTATGGAGTCTGATTTGTGTCCCCAAATGTTCTTCAGTATGAATCCATATACTGGAGCCTGGTTAACTTACCAAGAGTCCTAGGCGGTGAGGTTGGAGCTTCTTACTCACTTCCTCATGTCTATGCTTTGATTTTGTCTGGTTTCAGCTTGCATGGAACTTGTGCACACTGTCACTGTTACTTTGAGTTCACGTGAGACCTCAACCTCTGGCTCTTACAATCTTTCTGTCTCCTCTACTGCAATGATCCCTGAGCCTTGGGAGACTAATCTAACCTCACCCATCAACCCAAGTTGGCAACACCTGTTCTCAGCATGTGGCCTTTGTTGTTTCTTGCCCTTTCAGTGGCTTAATTATCCTCTTCTATGTTAAAATAACAAAAAAAGTTTGGGGTGTTTACTATTCATTCTTGTCACATGAGATAGTTGTGGAAAGTAAATGAGTTAAGGTATTAGAATAATGTGTGGTGGTTTAAAAGCACATGATAAGTGACGGCTATATTAGTTATCAACACAAACCCTCCAGTTAGGCCTTTCTCACTGAACCCAGCTGTGCACTGTCATTCCTAACTTTCACTTCGCCTTCCTATTACCCACAATGTTCTTCTTCCTCCCCTCCATCTAGTACAACCAGATAGAGCGGTGTGATCCAGAAGAGATATGAAAGTTTATGTTTTCTAACTATGGCATTAGGAAGGTAAAAAGAAACAATAAAATACATTTTAATAAAATGTTTTAACTTGTTAGATCCAAAATAGTATCGTCTCAACATGAAGCCAATATGAAGATAAAATCATGAGATTTTTTCTTTTTTTCTTTAAAGCCCAATATACATTTAATGCTCATAGTAATTTTAATTCATACTAGCTATGTCTCAATAGCTATGTTGACTAGTCATATGGGCTAGCAGTACGGTATGGCAACAGCAAGCAGCTTTTGGGTTACTAGCTCTATAAGTAGGTAAGTCCCTTCAATAATGGCTAGCACATGTTTATAATATGATGTCAGAGAGTAGGCTAAGGATGCATATCTCATTTGATCTTTGTGGCTGTACCCTTAAATAGGAACCTTCCTCAGTCACATTTTACAGATGAGAAGACTGAGACTTAAAGATATCAAGGAGCAGCTGCTAAGAAGCAGAGTTGGTTCTTGCCCTCTGTGTGCTGCCTCCTTGCTCAAGGCTCTAGATGCAGATCTGCCTTCTCTGCAGTGGAAATTCAGCAAGTTGGCACAAATGCACAATTTGCTGAGAATATGAATGTCTGCGAACACACACATCATGAGTATTCCCATGGCAATTCATGCCGTCAGTCACCTTATAAAACTTGTACTTGTTTACTCATGAACAGATTGCAAAGAGATGGAATCTCTGTTCTCCTGACCTCTAGGGATGGAATGGCCAAGGGGAGGTTTATTTAGGAAACATCTAGAAAACAGAGCTCTTGCCAATGAACTCTCCCATGTGAGGTCTTGTCATCATGGTCAAGGCTGAGCAAGCAGAAGCATATGTCTCTAAGCAGTGCTTAGAACTGACCCTAATGATGATCCACTTGCTTTCATTGGCAGAGACTTATAGTCAAAGACATTATGGTTCAAAAGCAGGACCACTTTCAAAGAGGAAATGCTAACTCACTTTTATGAGCATTGCTCTCAGAGTGAAAATGGTGTTAGCTCACATGGCCAGGTAGTGTCCTTCCCCTATTTCTGAATTGCTTCTTCTCTCTTAATCGTTAAAGGCCAGATTTTGACACCAGCTGGACCGTAATCCAGGAGCAGCTCCAGATGGACTCCATGGTTATTAAAGGCCTCGACCCAGATACCAACTACCAGTTTGCTGTGAGGGCCATGAATCCCCATGGCCTCAGCCCACGCAGCTGGCCCAGTGACACCATCCGAACACTGGGTGAGTGTTGTGTCCCTCCTGAAGGATATGTGCAGCTACACTGCTGTGTTTGCCTCTGAGCCTTGCTTGGGGTTTGTTAGTGCTCTGCAGATGAACAACCTGGGATAGAGCTCTCCTTGGGCTTCCTCCTATGGTTTTCCCAGGCCTTTGAAAGTTGGAGACACTCCACAGAGACACAGGCTATTTCTGTGTCTAGGAGGTCAGGGAAGGTTTATTTTTGCATCATCCTTGGGGAGTTTGAGGTTGGCTTTGTTCGCAAGTACAGGACAAATCACATAACAAAATGAGAGTGGCAGTCTCTCCCTGCCTCTCATCTCTTGAGAGATAAGTTAATCTTGGAAACAGGAAAAAAATTAAGACCACCCCCCCAGCCTCCTCAGGGCTGTCAATGAAGGACTTTCAGCTGGGTGTTGTACATGCCTATAATCCCATCAGTTGGGAGACTGAGGCAAGAGGATCATGTAGAGTTCAAAACTAGTTTAGGCTACATAGTAAGAGACTGTCTTACAAATAGACAAATATACATAGCTAAAACTAAAAAGACTCTCAAGTAGCATCAGCTCCTCTGAGTGATGGTCAGGAAGTCTCAGAGAAGATGTTGGCATGGTTACATGTAACATAGGAATCTAGCTGATGATGTGAATTCTCATGGCATTTCTCTAGAGTGGACCAATGTTTAGCAAATAAACTAAGGATTTTGTTAAAAGTCAGTCAGTTTATGTCTCTGGTCTGGGATTCAGCAAGCTGTCACATGATTTTTAAGAGCCATACTTCTCTATTAGAAGGGTTCATACAAGCTTGCCAATCCCAGCCCAGCATTGAAGTTTGTGTTTTGGAGGTGGAGGTCATATTCACATAAACCTAGAACCTTGGAAAGTGAGATCTGAGAAAGGAAATGCAGGCACAGTTTTGTTCAAAAGCCCTGTCTTTTCAGTTTCACCCATAAATTCCTCCAGAAGTGCTCCGAAGCTACTATGGGCCCTGTTTGCCCAAGAAGGGGGCTCTGAAAGGAAGCCCAGCTTGAGTAGTAGGTTTTCCATTAGCCTACACAAAGTCCTATTTTGTTATTAGGACCTGAATAAGTTCCTCCTCCTTATAAAATACTCACAAACTAACTACAAGGCTAATGCTATTTCCAGGTAGAGATTTACCAGGGTGTACAAGTTGTGGGGATTTGGGCCCTTTTGAACAGAGCCCTCACCCTGTAACCTTGAATGTTAGCTTTTCTATATTCAAATTGAGTTGTTGGGATATACGATGAGGCCTCACCTCCAAGAATACTCTCTATCCCCCACCATCTTATAAATATAATGAGACAGGAATTGTTTCCCTCTTCTTCAGAATGTAGAAGCTGCCCATGCCACCCCTAAGGGGTGCAGACCCTTTTTTCTGTAAGGCATGGTAGCAATTCAACCTCGAAGGCAGGCTTCCTTCCATCCTTTTTGTTCTCCAGATTATCTACTTTATTTTTTAAAATATATTCTTATTGAATTTTTGTGGAGTTCATACATCTTAATCATATTTAGCACCCTCTTCTCTAGTTGTACCCCCAATAGCCCATCCACAGTACTTCATACATTTTATTCTATATGTTAAGGCCTATTGAGTCAAGTTTGTATACCCAGATGTTCCTTGGTATAGGTTCATCCACTAGAGCCTGTTCAGCCTGTCCAGCATCACTTCCCTAAAGAAGATCAATTCGCCCTCACCCAGCAGTCATCAGCTGCCAATAACTCCTTGCCAAAGTTGTGGTCTCCTGCCTATTTCCCCAGCTATATGCTGTTTTTTCTCCAATTGAGCTTGCATGGGTCTTGCACAGGCTATCACCATTGCTCTATGTTCACATGAGCAAGGTCCTGGAGCCTCTAAAACTTTGTTTCCATGTGGTCATGCACCTCCTCCCCCGGCTCTTACAATCTTTCTGCCCCCTCTTCTACAATGGTCCCTGAGCCCTGGATGGGTGAAATTTAATATAGGAGTCCTGTCCAGGGAGCCACACTGCAGACTCTCATTCTCTACACTTTGGCCAGTTGTGGCCTTTTGTGTTCATCGCCCTTTCTTGCATGAGGAAGCTTCACAGATGAGAGCTGAGAGATGCATTAGTATTTTCTACCCCTTGTTCCACTATGTTCTGTGAGAGCTATGTAGTCCATCATCTTAAGATGTCCAAAATATGGCGTAGCAGGACATAGAGGCTCACCATACTTGTAAACACTTAGCTTGGTTTTTGGGTGGCACTCACTGTACCTTCCCAGCTCTCAACAGGGAGTCCTCCCTTTCTGCACTTTCCATCTGTCATGGTGTCCTCTGATTCCTGGAGTGAAGAGAGAAAAATGATGAGGTGTTCTAGTTACCTGTCTGTTGCTATGATAAAACAATGACGAAGAACAACGTGGAGGAAAGGGTTTATTTGGCTTATACTTTTCTGTCACAGTCCATCATTGAGTGAAGTCAGAGCAGGAACTCAAGGCAGGAACCTGGCAGGAACTGAAGCCAAGACCAAGGAGGAATGCTGCTAAGGCTTGCTTCCCCTGACTTGTTCAGTTACTTTTCTTATACAGCCCAGGCCCACGTGCCCAGGGATGGCATTGCCCACAGTAGGCTGGGCTCTCCAACATCAATTAGTAATCAAGAAAAATTTCCACAGAGATGCCCACAGGTCAGGGTAATGGAGGAAATTTCTCCGTCGAGGTTCTATTTCCCAGGTGACTCTGTGTCAAGTTGACAAAAAATGAACCAGTATATGAAGTGTAACAGTTAACACTGACCTTGACCTTGGATGTGGGGGTGGTAGGCTTTAGAATCAAGAAGAGATAAGAGGGTAGGATACCTCTTGTGCTTTTTTCTTTTTTTAACTAAAGCACCTGTGTGGTCTTAGAGTTTCTAGTCACTATTTCCCCATTACTGGATCCTTGTTTTGTGAATTAAGTGGGATAAATGATGCAAAAATACTTCATAAATATGAAACACTTTATTGTATTTTGGCTATTGGAAGAAGTAAAATTTTGTAATTTCACAGTAACTGTGCAAAGGAGGGGCAAAGCTACACAAACCCAGTGAAAACTCTTCTTTATGAGATATTCTTTTTGGGTGTGTTTTGTTGTTTAGAATTTTAGTTTGTTTGGGACATGATCTCATGTAGCCAGGGCTGGCCTCCAGCTTTTTATGTAGCTGAGGATGACCTTGAACTTCTGATCCTCCTGCTTCCATCTCCTGAGTGCTGGAATTATACCATGTACCACCATGGCCAGTTAAGCATCAATCTAGGGCTTTGTTCACACAAAGCAGGCACCGTACCAACAGAGTACCACTCCAGGTCATTGCATTAATAAATATTTTTAAATAAATACAAATTTGCTGCCTTTGAATATATATGCTTACTCAAATTAGGATAACAAGAGTAAAATTTTTTTTAAATTATTTATTTAATAACCACATGATTAGAAGAAGCATTTCATTACAGCATTAACATATTCAATAACAATTTCCAGAGCAAAGATGCATGTCTTTCAAAATTGACTGTAAATTTTTAGGTTCACAGTTGAATTAATACAGTTATACAATATTGAACTCAGTATAAACTCTATAAGACATAAAATTATATTACGTTTTAATCTTTAAAAAATATCTTCATTTCATTTTAAAATTTACTGTTTCATACAGAAAAACTCATTTTTAATGATACTACTAATGCTTAGATGTTTGCACATGTCTCTCTAATCTCTATGTATCTGATTATTACTAATCACAGTCGGTTACTTTCTGAGATCCTTGGCACATGAGCATGGATATAAAGTCATCAGGTAGATTTCAATGGTAGTTTTTTTCACCTTTACTAATTAACATGAAGCAAATTTTTATGCTTCTTCCTCAAATATAACTCATTTTTTATTTGTTGATTTTTTTTGTATTTCATACAGAACATCCCAAACAATCTTATTCACCTATATACCCACATCCCAAATGGCACCCTCCCATAGATTCCCCCCCACCCCCACTGGAGCCCATATACTCTGTAATCCCTGTTATTGCCCACTGTTGCAGGGAATTATAAGAACGTGCTGTAAGTGATTTTTCAATTGTAACTTTTCTGTTGATCGCTCTACTGTCTTATAGAAACCCTTTATTCCAGCACACATTCTTATTCATAATTTGGTTTTGGTTTAAGACTATTTTGCTTCCAAAACACATTTTTCCATACCAAAAAAATACCCAATTACCAAGTAGTACTATCTGCATCTTAATCAATTTGAAGTATTATTAGTTGCCACTGGAAAGCCTGTTGGAAACCAAGGTTTGTGCTGAGCACTTTGCCTGTAAAATCTACTCACTCCTTCCAGAAACCTTGGGTAGGAGGGATGTTACCCACTTCTTACAGTTGGAGAAAAACAGTGTCTTTAGAAGATTACAAATTTGGGGGCTGGAGAGATGACTTAGCAGTTAAGAGCACCACCTTTTTCTTTTTTAAAAACAGAAACATTCCTTTAGTGGAAGACTTCCTCCTGGAACCTCTTTATAGTGGTATTTGTGTCCCTTGTTGTGTGACTCTACCCTGATAACCACTCATCTGGGCACCATTCATCTGACCATCACTCCAATTTTATCATTTTGAGCATGTTATATAAATAGAGCTGGACAATATATAACTGGAAGATCTTAGCTGTTCTTGGATTTGGCAGGTAGTTGACAAAGGCCAGGGCTCAACCTCTTCCTCAGCTGGTGCTGAGCCAAAGTGAGGACGGCATGGATTGGGTGGTTCCACTGGAGTGTTAACAGGTGTATGCTTTATCTACCTTTGTCTTATAAAAATACAAGACAGAAAGGGAAGGAAAAAGTAAGATCTAAGTGTTCTAATGAGAAACAGGGCTACTTTGGTCATTCTAAACAGTGATGACATTGACATTCCCCGGCATTTACTTTGGGCCTCTCCTGGGAGGCTTCTCACAGTTTAGTTTCCATGAGAAAATGGGGAAAAATTAAAATAAATTTTACAAAGACCA